TTTAATACATCTTTGAGCAGATTGCTTTAAGGGTATTTTTAAAAAAGGTTATTTCTAATTGTAATTGTTTCTCCAAAGTTAAACTCAAAACAGAACTGGGCAAAACACAGTTCCAGGTCTTTTAATAGGGCAGTGCTAAAAAGGAATGCAAGTGAGCAAACACACCATATTGTTAGAGAGGAAGAGAGGTTTACATAAGTATTTTGTTGATGCTGCAATATTTAACTGGGTGGTTCATGTGCTGCACTATTCAAAGAGAGGATGAGAATTTGTCAGGATGAGCTCTCACAATTCAAATACATTTAGTTCAAATACATTCGCTTTTTGCACTTGAAAAGCTCTAAAGAATTAGTTCATTGGGAAGCCCTGGAATTCATGACAGGACTCAACAGAAAAGGAATGCTCTACCTAACCGTGAGCAATTCAGTCATGCAAAATGTCAATATCATTTTGTAAAACTCAATTTGTGCAACATTAATACTACGACATAGTCAAGTCTGAAAAGGAAAAAAATGCTGTTCTTCCCATCCCAGAAGAAAACAGAGAACTCAGAAAAGCTGCAAACCCATTAACCTTTATTCCTGAGGATGCATATTTAAACTTGAGTATACATGATCCTTTTAAGCAAGTGTTGAAAAATTGATTTTTAAGGAAAATAAAAACAGTAAGAAAATTCCGTTCTGCTCAAATGAAACACCCTCAGAAACTCAGAGTACGGTTTGTTGGTTTTAAAAATACCTAAACCCTGTCTATATTACAACTTCCATCATTGGTACCATCGTTGGGACTGCTCCGTTTTTCAGTCATAGCTCCCTAGTGCAAAGTCAAGAAAAACAGTACCTGGATTAGAACAACCACCACCAACAGTGCAACTGCACCAATGGCTGCAAGAGATTTGGACCATTTGGTGAACTCTACTCCGAGACTGAGAAAGGCAGAAATATCCAAGCCCCATATACTATATCAGGATAGAATAATCCCATGCACTGGGAAAGGCTGGGGATGGACTGGCTAAGCAGCAGCTCTGCAGAAAAGAACCAGGAGTTACAGTGTGCTGGGTATGAGCCAACAGTGTACCCTTGTTGCCAAGAAGGCTAGCATCACACTAGGCTGCATTAGTAAGAGCGTTGCCAGCAAAAGCGATTCTTCCCCTCTTTTTGGTACTGGTGAAGCCATATCTGGAGTACTGTGTCCAGTTTTGGACCCCCCACTACAGAAAGGATGTAGACTAGTTGACGGGTCCAGAAAACGGCAATGAAAATGATTAGAAAGCTGGGGGACATGACTTATGAGAAGAGGCTGAGGGAACTGGGCTTATTTAGTCTGGAGAAAAGAAGATGGCGAAGGGATTTAACAGCCTTCAACTGCCTGAAGGATAGTTACAAAGAGGATGGAGCTGGGCTGTTCTCAGTGGGGGCAGATGCCAGAACAAGGCGCAATGGGCTCAAGTTGCAGTAAGGGAAGTTGAGATTGGATATTAGGGAAAACCTTCTCACAAGGAGGGTAGTAAAGCACTGGAACAGGCTACCCAGAGAGGTGGTGGGCTCTCCATTCTGGGATGTTTTTAAGGCCCAGTTCAACAAAGCCCTGGCTGGGATGATGTAGTTGGGGCTGGTCCTGCTTAGAGCAGGGGGTTGGACTGGATGTGACCTCCTGAGGCCCCTTCAACCTTCATTTCCTATGATTCTGTGATATACCAGCAACTTAGCACAAATGCAGTTTCACCTTTCCAAACTCTTGGTGTAACAAGCAAGTTTAGTTGGGTAGATGTACCATAAGAATGGAAAAACTTGAACATAAAGTAAAATTGCTAACTAAATTGTGATGGCTTCCCAAGAATGCACTAATCTTTGAAAAAATGCAAACAGAAATGGTCATAAACAGCTTCTGGATCATATGATACTACATCACTTGTTTGGCATTCTTAACTGCAGATGTTTTCTTTAGGATCTTGCAACTCATGGTATTTATAAATAGTGCTGAGTGTGTTTTCTGTTTTATATCCTTCTTTTTTTAAAACAAGAAAATAAATTTCTGTTTTATCAAGAGCTGGCCTACTTATTCATGCCCAATCCAAACTTAATCAGTCATCCTCTCTGACTTCAAAACTGGCTTCTGTAGATATAGTTATGACATCTTGTTGGGTTTTTTTTATGGTTATTTTTTTCAAATCACTGAATGCAGAACTAAAAGGAAAATCTCTCTAGGATCAAAGATGCAAAAACAGGAAAGGAAGAAAAATCATAGAAACCAATCTGCATATACGGTACTAGAGAAAGGAGGCTTTTTGAAGTTATACAACAGACTTCAAGACACTTTTCAAAAGGCTGTAAAACGTTCGTGTTAGGAAATGTGCCTACATGGCAGGGCCCATATTAATTAAAAGAATTCCACTATTTAGACACAAGGACATCAGTCCAGCTGATTCAGCCTGAATTGCACTCATCATGCTGTACCTATACTTAAGATAGATGACTTAATTCTCCAGGTATGTCAGCTTGTCACTAGTATCAATTAAAAAAAAGTATAATTTGACAAAATGAGAACGGTACACATGTCCCTGGAGGGTTTATTCTCTATGTTCTTGAGTAGGTCTATTTTTCTTGTCTCTTTGGAATTCTTCTCGCCTTCTTCGTATGATCCTGTCAGTTAAATATATGGTCATCTCCCCAGTGCCAGAACAGGTCTTTTGAGCAGGCTTCTCCTCTCCCACTGTGATTACAGTTAAGCAGTTTTATCTATCTGCAGCCATTATTACTTTATCTTCCATTAATGGAACATTTCATGACAGTGAACTGTACTGAGCCTGAAGTCTACGTATAGTTTATCATTGACTACAGCAAGAATAATTTCCACACAGTAGAACTGGAGTCTCTGTGGTAACACTGAACGTACAAAAACATCTGCGTGGTTGATAACAACAAATTGGAAATGAGAAGCCGGACACGCCACAGGTAACAGAATAAGGGACAACACAACTGGTCTAGTTAATAACCTCTAACATACACACAGAATAAAATATAGATCCTATGTGTTGGATACCAGCAGCGAGGTTTTGGCTTCACGCCTAACACTACAAATAGACTTGCTGATACTTATACAACCCGAGCTACTTAAGAAAACGTTATTCTTAAACAAACCCATCATAATTCCTCCCCCACCCACAACTTGCTAAAACTCAGAGAAAACCCTTACTTAGCCACAACCTTATCTCCATCACTATTCGACTGCACGTTCAGTGCCAAAATCAACACCTTTAAAATAGTCACATTAAAAATGTTGGATGAAACAGGCCACATGTGATACTGAACCGACAAGAACAGATACTTCATGGGTGCCCCAAAATGCTTCATTTCCTAATTCTCTCTTTTTTTTTTACTAGAATAAACCACAAGCAGAAAAAAAGAAAACAGGAGACCAAACCCTCACGTGCTGAAGTGCAACTATACTCTAGTTGTTGGTATCTGGTTGTGCCAATATCCATTAAGGTTATATTTGAAGCCCTGCTACCAGGGTTGTTTCACAGCCCACTACCCCCACTCCACCACTGGCTTGTAAGGTTCAGGGAGGGCAAGGGAAATGGTTTGAGGGCTGGGGAACACGACTGATGAGGAGAGGCTGAGGGAACAGGGTTTATTTCTTTTGGGGAAGACGAGACAGAGAAGGGATTTAACAGCAGCCTCCAACTCCCTGGAGGGAGGTTACAAAAAGGATGGAGCTGGACCAGGGGTGGGCAGTTATGTGGGCTGGAGGGCCACTTAGCGCTGTTTCACACAGCCCTACTGTTTTGTTTTGACAGGACAGTGTTTCATTTCGAGTTTCATTTCGAAAGTACAGTTCCATTTCATCAAAACTGTTTCGCCCATAGGCTATAATGGGGAAGCCCAAAATTGCCTATAACTTCATTATTTTGTGGCAGATTTGGATGAAAACAGCCGGAACGTTAGCTCCTTCTGAGGGCACGAAACCTGCCAAGTTTCAAGGTGCAGGGGTTTCTGGGAAACTGCACCTCAAGCTGCTGACAAGTAAAACTTGTGATGTGCGTGACTGTGTTAAGGTGTGCCCTCACTGGCACCGGGGCCCATGGGCGATTGGTGCCACCTTAGTCGGGTGGGGCAGCAACTAGGCAGCGACCGGGGACCAATCTCACTGAATGGGGGAGTCCCCTGTGGCCGATCGCGCCAACCAGAAGTGGCGGTGGCACTTCATCTGGGGCTCCCACTGCCCGGCTGGTGCTTGCAGGGCGGGCACCGGTGCTCTCTCCCGCCTACCCCCTACCCGTCGCCTGTCAGGGGGTGCACCGGTGCTCTCAGGGGGTGCACGTGCACCCCTCCACGGCGCCACTGCTGGGGCCTCTACACGACATGGCAGCGTGCCCCAGTGAGGTGTCCATCTCCTCCTCCCCTACAGCCTCAACCCGGTCCACCCCTTTCAATCACAACAGGTAACACTTGTCGAACCTTAGCGGGGAGCAGCGCGGCAGCATCCAACCACCGCAGCCAACACCAGAGCCGTCCTCCCCGCTCTCCTTACTTTCCGGTTCCCCATGGGTGAGCCAGGCTTCAGCTCCAAAATGTTTCAACCATCCCCCAGCTTTGTTTCGAGGCTGTTTAGGAGCCCCCCGCCCTCCCATCCCGTTTCAAGCTCGAAATGAACCAAAACGGCGCGGGGCCCTGCTGCTCGGGGAGCACTAGCGAGCACCCCCACCCCCCACCCCTTTCACCGCTCACCCACGCGGTGTTTTTGTGGTTCGGGGGCCGGTGGTCACCGCCCCGCAGGGACACGGAGATGCCCCCGCTGCGGCGCCACCTCACGCCTGGGGGCAGCGGGACCCCCCGCAGCTGGGTGAGACCCGGCCCCCGCGCTGCGCCGTGCGCGGAGGCAATGGGCTCGGGCTGCAGCTGGGAAAGTTGAGGGCAGAGCCCGTGCGAGAGGCCCCGCGCCGACCAGGTAACGCGGCCCGCGGCGCGGCGCGGCGCGGCCGAGATGGACGCTCTCACCGCGGAAGGGTTCCGGGCCCCGCCGGCCCCGCGCTGAGTCCTTGTCTGCCATGGCTCCTTCCATCGTCTGCCCGAGCCGCGCCGCGCCGAGCCGCGCAGCTCCGCCGACT